TAATTTTGGAGCTTGGAAATGAATTGAGGCATATTAGCAAAATGACAAGTCTCCTGTGAGAAGCTGACGTTCATGAATCCAGTTCAAAACCATTCAGCAAATACTTAAAAAACCCCATGATAACTCTCAATGGTCAGTTTTACATTTGGATTTGTGGGGAATGTGATGCTGTATGCACCAGGTAGTTCTAAATGAGCGAGGAAATTCTAGTGGCTGTTAAAGCAGGCTGATAAAATTGCCTCAGGCTTCACTTACTGTAAGTCCTGTTGCTACAGTTCCTGACATCAGTAAGTTATCTCCTGCTGACTTCACCATGCAGCATAAAGTTGTAGGTTAGCAGCACCTACCTGAGCCATTTTGGATGATACTAGTCTCCATTTTAGAAAATTAACTGCCATTGTTTGCACTAGGTTATCCAGGTTTCATGAAAATATCAAAATACTGCTTTATGGTAACATAAGGATTTATATGATTTTTTTTTAAACAGGTTTAGAGACTGGATACATCTATTCATTCAAATTGCATTTAGAAAAGTGTATTTTCTCACTTTCCCACTAAGTAAACAGACAAGCTCTTCAGAGCAAGATCAATATGTAGATGCTCTGAACTCCTGATTTCTCTTTGATTTTGAAGGAAACCTAGATGCAGCAAATTAGGTGGTGTAATTAGCTCCTTAAGGATCATATTTGGCTTTAATAATATAAAGTAATTTGAAAGAAATGCTTCATAGTAATTTAAAGGCTTTTAATCACAGTGATTGAAAGGCTATTGCTAGCAGAGTTGGTCAGTGTTCTGAAATATTTGAGTAATGCCACTTCTTCACTCATAGTATTTGATGTACAAAATACAAAAATAAATCTTTAATGTGGAAAGGGCTGCACTTTGAATTGAAAATGGTGTTGAAACCTGGATTCTTTCATGGTTTTAAATTTCACGGGATAGGGTCAGTAGAAAGAACTGGTAAGGTTTTGTTGATATTAATGTTTTTATTGTATCTAGGGGGTTTTTTGATATTTGAACTGTTGTATATTTAGGATACCTCCCTTAATATCAACAGTAAATTCCTTGTCTTCTCCTTCACCTTTTCTCAAAGTCATTCATACATTTATACATTGCCAGTTTATTAGTATATTTTCATTGGTGACTCTGCTACATTTTTTTGTTGTTGTTGAAGGTGCCTGCCATGATGACTGGCAAGATCTGCAGTGAATTATTAATACATTTCTAGAGTTTGTTGCATACTAGGGCCCTGGCTTCCAATAAAATAATTCATGCTTCCCAAAGGTATATCATGTATATAATTTTGCTTGTGCTCCAAGATGACCACAGACCATGTTAAAGACAGTGCTAAGGTTAAATTAATATCTGCTGTATCATAGCTGGACTTATTTGTTAAAACTCAGCACTGTGATACTATATGTAACCCAGCACGTGGTTGGCCTAGATAGTAGCAAAGAGAACTCATATCTTCATTGTAAAATGATATGTAGTTTTGCCCTTTCTCACCTGCAAAACAAATTTATTTCTTGCTTTGGGTAGCTTGGTTGCAAATTATACAGGGAATTGCTAACTTCTCCTTTTGTCTTGGGAGTTTAGGTGACCTTTTGCAATTTCCAACAATGAGGTGTAATTATATATTTTAAAGACTGAGATCTTGAATCTTACTTAACATTAAGAGGAAAGAATACAGTGAATAGAAGACAAATTCAAGGTGCTCTTAATAGCACGATACAATTCCCTGAGGGCTGATAGTTTCATGTGCAGGAAGATTATGTCGTTGCTGCTCAGGTAAGAGAATGAGTGCGAGGGCAAGCAAGTTATTACCAGGGCCAGCCCAGTAGATGCTAGGAAAGCACACAGCGGTGCAAGGATACTGACTGGTACGTTGTGAAGGAGTAAAGGTGAATGTGACACAAACATTTCTCCATTGCAAATTACGTTCACTTGACTAATTGTGGATCCATGTCTCTATGGGAGGGAGAATGTATTGAGTTAACATTAAAGAGCAATATGTTGGGTGTCCTAGATGGAAATAGCAGTGGATAAATACAAGCCCTATTAAAAGCATGTTTGTCCTTATGTACCCAGAAGGGAAAAAAAAAATTAAAAGGCAGAATCTTTGGAAAATAATAAACAAGTAAATTATTTGTACCCTAGAGGCTATTGATTCTGAAGTATGTACCTCCATGAGTTATAAAGCAGATATTAGTCTCAGAATTATCCCTTATTGTTCAGGTCTTTTCTTGAAATTTAATGACCGCTACTTTTTGTGAACATACTGCTACTCTCCTTTTTGCTGTGCTTCACTGATGACTGAGTTCATCTTTCATGGACAGGGAGACGGGGAGAGGGGTAAGAATCTCAGCACAACACCAGGAAACTTCCAAATGCCAACTGTGTTCAGTTAATAGTTAACAGTTCTTTTCCATTATGATTTTCAGTTATGGTTCATATATTCCTGTTTTAATACTAATTATCCATGGTAATTGAGTTCCAAATTTTCAGTTTCATAAGATTAAAAGAATATAAACATCCTAAAACTTAGAACATAAACACTTTAAAACATAGATGTAGACTTTATTCTGATTCCACACAATGAATGTAATAGGATGCAAGCATTCACATCTCAATAACTGCAAAGTTTTAATTGCGGAATATGGGAGTAAGAAATTGTTACATGCAATATTTAGGGATTCTAAGAATGTTTTAACATCGGTGGCATAAATTCCCAATATTTGCCACTCTTACTAAAGTACTCCAGCAATTTTTTCCTCGTATGTTGTATATTAAGCTACTGAAAGAGCTGGGGATGGGTTATTGAGGAAACTGTTGCCAGTATTCCTGTTTGCACTTTGTCCATCAGGCCCTTGAAACATTTATATTAAAAATTATTGTTTTCTGAGTTGGCAAATGACTTCAAAGCTTAGAGCTGTTTTAAACATCAAGGAAAGCTTAGCTCTCCTTTTGTCTGCTCAGTTTTTCTGACATGGCTATTAACTACTGATTTTATTAGTCAACCAGCTTTCATTAATATCAGACAATTTGGATTTGTCCATAAACAAGAAATTCTCTTTGTACATTTATTTGTATTGTCCTAGTACCTACCTTTGTTCAGTAGGCAAAGAACAATCTCATGTTCTTTGTTGCCTTAATTACTTTCATTGGCAACAGCATGATTTAATAATAATGAGAGCCCATTTGTTCCTCTTTTTTAATCATATCCTCTAGCCTCTGCTTTTCAGTCTATTCTAGAAAGGTTGCCCCCTGTATCTCCGTCAAACGAGGTGGAAGCTATCCAAAATCCTTCTTGCCATAGAAAGTGGCCAATGTTTCATAAGACCAGATATCTCGAAGTAATATTGCTCACCAGGCTACTGGCTTCTTGCTGCTTGCTTCTGCCTTTTGGCTTGCTTCACTCTGAAGACAGAAAGTCACCCCAGTGGGAGATCACTTGCATGGGCTTATTCTCCAGTACTCTTCTAAATTCCTTTGCGTAATCTGCAATCTTCGAGGTGTTACAGAAGTATTTGATAAATGCAAATATGGATCCTTATTCTCTAAGATTACAAGTTAGTCCAATTCTAGTTACTTTTGACATCTTAATTTAAAGAGGGCAACACACGTTAACTGCGTCTCCATGGCAGAGTATCATTTCTGCTGTCAAGAATCCACAATGAGGTTTATTTGTTGGCTTTGGAGACACGGCTCCAGTGGGAACAGCAGTATTTGGACTGAACTTTGAAACAAAATGAGGAAATAGACTTATTTACTAGCCTTTAGGACACATTTTTAATGTAGTAGAATAATTCTGCCATGGGTTATGATGAAATTTGCTGGGTGGATAATGATATAATTTGAAGGAACACAATTCTTACAGTAAAAAATTGTCGATCTCTCAGTCATCTCTTTAGTGTTCTGTTTAAACACCATTTTTCAATAGCAGCTATCACTTGTGGGGTATGCCATCTTAGATTGTGTGTATGCTAGTGTATTGATTCCTAACAGTAGCGCCGTTCTACAGTGTATCCCCCATCTCTTCCACTTACTGTGTGTCACTTCTCTTTGCAGAGTGGGTTTCATTTGTGTTCAAACTAGAGTTCAGAGGAAATTAATCCAGAAGCTCTACCCAAAGTACTCAGTAGGCACTTTCTAACCTCTAATAGGGATGTAAAGACTAAACCAGTGATTGGTCTCCTGACCAGCTTCAGACTATGTTGTATAGTTGGAACACTGGATCAGGGGCCAGATGTGACCTAGTCCTGAGGGGTATGGAATCTGTAGATGAAGGCTCAGCACAAAGTGCTGTGATTTGCTGAGCTGTTGCTTTTGCTCCAAATTGCTTTCTAATGTGGGCTTAACCTTAGGAAGGGACAAAGAGGTTTTAGCTTCTGTCACCATGCATTCATATTCAGCCCTACAGTGGTATTCTAGCTTGAGTATATAATTTATTGAATAATTAAGAATGTTGACAAAATACTTGTGCAAACCTTTCTTATTGGGGACCTTCATTTAAGCAATCCTTGTATCCTGGACAACAGAAATAGCAGCAATTTCAGAATATACTAAAGACTAGAACCCTGGGAAATGGTTATATCATGACAGGCTTCTCTGGGAAGAGTAAATATGTGATTTGAAGGAAGAATATTTGCTGTGGAGGTCAATTGGATTTAAAACTAATATTGTCTTTCATTTTTATCAGAAAAGTCTTCAGTCAGGGAAAATACGTAAGTGGTTTTATTTTTTTGTCCAATTGAACTGGCTCAAAGATTGTCCTGTTTTTTATCTGTATTGATCTGTATGATACTAGTTTCCCTATTTTATAGCTTCATGAATACCATGGATGCTACTATTCCTCAGCCCCAAGGACAAACTGAAAAGATGTTGAATTATAAAGTATCTGACCTTGGTACATTTTCATGAACATTACATGAACAGAAGAGTTAAGACAGTGACAAAGGGTTTAGAGGCAGAAGAAATTTAATGCTTCTCTGACATAGCAGAATGGCTGTGTAAAGAAGGCTTTTAAGCAATCAAGGCCATGCAAGCTAATTTGTGACTGATAGTATAAATTATGTGCAGATTCTTTCAGATTGTTTGAATTAACTCTAAGGATATTTTTACAGCAACTTTGGTTTAATGAAAACTATTATTAAATCATTAGTCAATGAAAATAGTTATTATTTTGTGTGTATGTAAATTATCATATTCGTATACCATAATTATTATCCTTCAAATAATATACCTATTCAGGATTATATCTTTTTGGTTGAAGTGGTCAAGTTCCTCTTAGTGACTTCTCTGCTTTGCTTGCAGGTTGTATATAAAAATAACGATGTAAGGTTGGAGTTATCTCGACTTGCCAAGCAAGGAGATCCTAAAATGAAGATTCATGGGGTTGTAGCATTTAAATGTGAGAATGTTGCAACCTTAGATCCAATCACATTTGAAACACCAGAGTCTTTCATCTCTTTGCCAAAGTGGAATGCCAAGAAAACAGGCTCAATATCATTTGACTTTCGTACAACTGAGCCAAATGGCCTGATTCTTTTCAGTCATGGAAAACCAAGGCACCAGAAAGATGCCAAACACCCACAGATGGTGAAGGTTGACTTTTTTGCCATCGAGATGCTTGATGGCCACCTCTACCTGCTGTTAGACATGGGATCAGGTACTATAAAAATAAAAGCCTTGCAGAAGAAGGTGAATGATGGTGAATGGTACCACGTGGATTTTCAACGCGATGGACGATCAGGTAATCTTCTTTTTTTAATATTCAGCATGGTTTTTCATGTTGTATCTGAGAGAATACTGGGTATATACTATGTTGCCACCAGTTGTGCATCATCTGAAAAATAAGGGAAGTATAAGAAGCCATTACTGTCAGGTACCAGAATACAATGATTTGCAGAGTGAAATATCTGATGTTAACACTTACTGGGTAATCAGGTACTTAATCTTGCAAGTAAGTGTGCTGTGTGCTTCAAAAACAAACAGTAATCTCCCTTTGTGCTTGCTTACACCAAATAGCTGAAGTGGCAAATTTCAAGAATAAAAATAAAGCAAAAAAGAATTACTGAAAGTAATCTCAAACATAGGGAATAGTTGACCCACAGAAACAACACAGAACTTCTAATTATGTTGGCAGATCTCAACATAATTAAATGATATGCTAATGAATGTCTAACAACACATATCAGCAGAAATGGAAATAAGTGACTTGCCATATTCTGTCAGTATGATTTGTATTCTGTAGTAGTTTACTCAACAAATGATCTCACTGAAAATGGTAAAAATGAAGAATTCATAAACTCTTCCTAATGCTGCTGAAATCTGTCATAGCATAAAAAGCATCTAACTACTGAAACTGTCCTTGTGTTTCAGCTGTATCTGATCTTGAGTATATATCTTGACTTCAGCAAATCATCATCCATTAATTGAAGGACAAATTAACTCCATGATATCTTTCCTGTAGTTCATGCCAGGATTTGGCGGTGGGATGGGGGAGTTTAGTTCAGTCTATCAAAGAATTTTCCGATTTGTTATCCATATCCGATCAGAAGTTTATGTACACTCTGAAATTGAGTGTTGAAAAATGTAAACTCTTCTTTTGGATTTTGTGGGTTTTCCCCACTTCCTTGGTTCTGGTGACTCCTTTCGCTTAACTTGCATTTACAGTTTCTTTCTGAAACTTCACACCAAAAAAGTTACTGTTTTATGACTTTCTTACTGAAGATTTCCACAAATCAGATTTCAGATCAAGCAAATCTTAGATGCAGGTTTAAATTGAAGATTTCGGTCAAATCCATGCTTAAAGTCACACCAAATTCAATTGATCAGTCCACCCTAGGCTTATAAAAAATAGTTATTTGATTCCTGGGCTATGTGGCTTCAGATGCTAATTGTAGAGTTTGATTTTCTGATTATAATATGTCAGTTGCTTATTTACATTTCTTGAGGTTAAAAACAAAAAAAAAAAACCCAAACAAAACCACAACAAACAAAATAAAACAAAAAAACTCCAAACAACAAAACACACAACTTCTCAAAATCCTCAACTGTGATTGAATAACCAGTGGTTATATTATTTATACTGCAATCTTCATTTCAGGCTTCTTTCTTAAGTGCTGTTTCAGTGATTCATCTGAGGCAGTAAATCCTGTAATAATCATGCCTGTGGGACTCCACTGAAAGCAAAGTTTATTCTTACATCCAAAGTCAATACAACTATAAAGAAAAGAAATAAATGCATAGCAATTGTTTACATTTGAAGATATGTTCTGCACTTTCATTGCTTCACAATAACTGTAGCTCACAAGTGCCATTAAGAGAGTTTAGGGCATACTTTGTTTAATTCTTTAAAACTGTCAATGGACATTAGCAAGAATGTAGACTAATTTTAGGAAGCAATACAAACCTGGTGATCAGGACTACATATTATTTTAAAGTGGAATTATAAATGGTCAAATATATATGTAAAAGTAAAATTAAACCAACTGATGAATCGTCTATGATAAAGACGGGTGAATCTTATTTACCCTGTCACTCTATGAAAACTGACCATAGTACCTATTCACCCTAAAACACTGAACTATTACCAGGAACAGTTAAAAATATAGGCATATGGATGGACAAACTGGATTTTAGCTGAAATCTGAACCAGACATAAAAAACTTTGTGATTTTAATACATACAATAATACTTTACACTAGGAAAAGTACCAATGACAGTGGCAATGCTGTTATTTTTTTTAATGAGAATATTGGCTGAGTAGTATCTTAGATCGTCAGATTTAACCAAGTAAAATGACTACCTAACAATTAAAATAGACAATGAACTGTATGTTCCTATTTTCTCCTGATTGGAACAGGAGGTACCGATGTGTCACGTTTAGATTATTTCTTCATGACTTATGTGTGTTGATCTATTACAATTTTTTCCATGAATAATAAAATCCACTTTACTATTCCAGGAAGCTTTTTCATTTTTTTTCTCTAGCTGAAACCAAACATATGGAAATCATATTAATATGATCACTTTTCACTTGCTTACCTTCAGAATTTTTGTATAAATGAATGAATATACCTTGTGTAAAGAAAAATTTGGCTTTTCTGAGACTTTCTTGTTGCTGCTGACAAAATACTTCCGTACCTATCAAGTATAAAGGAAGAGGTTCTCCTGTTAATGAATAAGTAGCCCAAATAACCTGTCCTTTTTTTTTTAGTGAAGTTTGGTGTCTTGCAACCTTTTGCTCCTAGCCTTCAAATCCAATGCAGAGTGGTTCCCTCAGATAGTAGAAAGCTGTGACATTTCTCAAGGAGATTTGCTAATTTCCTTGGCTTTCATATTAGCTGGATCAGCAAGTACTCGATTTATTTTTAATTCTTTGCTCTCTTCTGGACTCTCAGTCACAGGGAGCATCCACTCTAAACTACTGATTTTGCCATTGCCTGTCTGGGACTGCGCTGCAGGAGGTGTAAGAAATGAGAGCACGTTTTAAAATTGTACTTATCCAGGCCTTATTCACTAGTAATTCTGCTGATTCTTTCAGATTTTGGGAGATACAAGGAAGAGGGAAGAGATGGTGCCCTTTAGTTTCCTTTTGCTGAAGGAACTTTTGACCTATCATTTTAATGGAAGTTTTTCACCCTAGAATCCCATCCTGCTGCCTGTAAGACCTACTCTGAGTTTTTTTCTTACCTTAAAAAACAGATCTTCAGTGAGAAGAAACTCCCAAGACCCTGTTTTCCAGTGTTAAGTAAAGAAAGATTTCATACCTTCTCCATCGGTTCATCTTTTTTGCTAGGTATGCAGCAGAGGACACAACCTGGTACCAACTGCTGTGTCCTGTCATGTGAACTGAATTCCCTTCCAGTATTCATGCTTATCCTGAATTTGTGCAAAGGACAGTAGCTTCGTAGCTGCTTCATCTGTGCCCTGTCTTGACCGTGGGCTGTATGCTGTGGTTCCAGTCCTCATCACAGCTATTATACTATGCTTTACCACGCAAGATATAAAGTGTATTTAGAATACCTTGCTCAGATGTTTTCACTGTTTCCTAATAAGCGAAGGTGTTTCACATGCACAAAAAGCAGCTAAATAGACCGCGTAAGGTAAGCATAGAGATCAGAATAGTTGTAGCAGCTGTAGTTACAATCTCCATATTTAACTGATCAGAATTGAGACAAGGTTTAGAAATATGTCTTAGTTTCTTATACACAGACTTTTGAAAAAGTAAATTGCTGAGATAATGAATATGATTGGAGAGGCTCATTAACTCATACCTAAGGGAAATGTCTGTCTGTTCTGCTCTTAACAGTACTGCCAACGCTGCAGTAAAAGAATTGGGGGGGAAAAAAAAAAAACACAACAAAAAAAACAAACCTAAACTTAAAAAAAGACAAAAACTATAAAGCAGCTGTAAAGGTCTTTGCTCACAGTCTTTCTTGTAACACAGTAGAGTTAGGTTTAATAACTGTTTTATGAGACTTGAATATTATTTAAGAATTTTTTAGACTGTTTACGGTATTCAAAGATAACCTTGCAAGTGTGTTTTGACTAAACCACCATTCATCCTTTGGAAATCATCATTACACAGTAAAATCAGAGAGGCAGCTTGCTCTTCTTGTCAACCTCCAATTGTGTGTGGCAGTGCAAACCAGAATGTGTCAGAATGTATTCATAGGTAGGTAGAATTTACGGACTAAGAAGTCACTGAAATTTTGAACTAAAGTTAGAGTTTTGGTTTAAATACCATAAATTATCTCTAGAGTATGTAATTAGAGCGTAATTATAGTCACTATCTCACTGTAAGCAGTGCTTTGTCAATATCCATTACATGCATTGTTGTTGCAGGTTCTTTTTTTACATGTACACTTGCATGTACACTTTTCCCTGTTCTTCCAACCTGTTAAGAACTGCCAGATTTACATGTTCCTATTTCAACAAATGTCAATAGTTAACATATTTAAAATAATGGGTTTATATTGCATTTTAAGGAAAATTCTTCCAATGATCCTGTTAGTGTTTTTCATTTATTCATGAGCTCATAGAAAAATTGACATGGCATGCTCTTGAGAGGTCCTGCATTTTACCCCTCCAATAAAAGTTGTGATAGTGTACTTGTGTCAGTCTTGACAGATGTTTGTTGAGTTCCCTCCAGCAGTGGACACTGACAACCTCCCCATGTAGTCATTCATAAACTGAATATTTCTGTATGTAAACCAAGCCATTTTGCCCATAATTCCCTTGTTCACAGCAGGCACAAAATACACCATGCTTTTTTCCTGTGTCATAGCTCTGTACTTTTTATGATTTGAATACTCTTATGTCAGTCTCCAACTTTCTTCACAGACTAAGAAACCCCAACTGCTTCCTATCCTTATATGATGCTCTGTAGCTATTGACCATTTTTATTGCCATTTTCTGCAGTCTTATCAGCTGCACCTTTCTTGGAATTCAAGGTAAACCTTATCAATGCTCAGTAAAGTGGTACAATAGACTTCTCTGTACCTCCCAATATATTGCCCATTTTGCTCATACGTATGTTACTGTTGACTTATATTGCTGACTCCTCCTTTGAAGAGCTGCCCACTAATCAGTTACCCTTTACGTCAATGATTGTTGCCAAAAATCATAATTTCGTTAGTTTTTCTGAAACTGTTCCTCCAATACGTAAAGATGTTTCTGAATGTTTAAATTTCATTTTGCTCTCAGGTGAAATGCTGTAGAATCAAAGCACCCATAGGTCTTTATAGGACCCTTAAATTTATGTCCAGTTTCTGGAGATAAGAAATACTACCTGTTTTTCAGAGTCTGAAGCTAGATCATGAATTCCCAGACTAAATAAATCACCTTCCACCACCTTGTCTTTCAGTCTTGCCCTTTGTCTTCTTTCAGGCTGGACAAACCAAATACTGTCAGATTTTTCTGATTTCTTTCTCTTTTTTTTTTTTTTTTTTTTTGGGTAGATATGCAGACAACATTTCCTACTTTGAGTATTAAAAAACTTTGCAAGGAAGCTGCTTATTTCCTGGCAGACATTATTGTCTCAGCGTTGCTCTTTTCAAAGAAAGAGTATAACTACTGATCTGATTATGGGTGGTGTTATGCTAGGTAATATGCAAAGTTATAACTGAAAGGATGATTCTTACTACAGAGATGTTACAGTTTAAGGTTATGATTTTGTCTTTCTGTTGAGAGGCCAATGCTTTTCTGAATCTGCTTCTTCCTCATCATGTTCTGCTGTCTCTAGGTTGTTTTGTAAAACGAGATGTGTCCCGTTCTTTTCACTCTTACCCAACTTCATAATTCTAGTGCGAGAAAGGTTGATGTTACATTATCTTTACAGGGCAAATTATTAACCTTTTCCTGTGCTGGCCACATAAGATATTTGTATGCTCCATTAGCTTCCCTTCTTCCTGCTTCTCTGGAAAGCGATGTCTCTTCACATACGTAAGTAGAAACATCCAAATGGATTGGAGCACACTGGTGATTTGACAGAACAATTCCTTTTAATCTGCCTATAATTCCCAGAGAAATTAGGATTGAAGTCCAGCAAAGGGGGTGTGCATTACTGTCCCCAGATTCTGTGGTAGCATCTGCCATTGTCATGAGGTCCAACTGAGGTGATTACAGTAGAACTTGAAATCTTTCCCTTAAGAAAGACAACAGGCTTAAAAACCACACAACCAAAAAACAACCCACAAACAACAAAAAAAAACAACCCACAAACAAAAAAAAACCACCCAAGACCAAACAAAAAATTGAACACACCCCACACCCCCCCGACACACACACAAAAAAGCCACCAAAACCCAACCAACCAAAAAAACCACCCCCGTCCCCCGCTAGAGGAAACAGCACACTCTACCTCTGTGTCACAGCTCTGGATGCACTGTGAATCTAAAGGTGTTTATAGACACGTTTTCTGTGGGCCCATGTTGTATCAACTCAAGTTCTGTGTTTTATTTTAGGATATTTAGAAAAAACCCAAAACAAAATTTTAATGTATTTTTGGAAGTTGTCTTTTATTCCCATTTATTTTTCTTGGATTTTTTCACCCGCATTTATGAAGCAATTAAAGAGCAAAGCTTGTATTAGCTATCAGAGATACATGAAAGGTAATTTGGATACCAACAGCAGAGGTGGTTGTATGGCTGCCTGGACATGCTGTTAGAAGTTCAACCGGAAACCAGGATAATTTGGTAACTGATAGCATGAAACTCTTGGTGCCCAGGCATGGATTTGCCGCTACTAGCTAGACTAAAGCCTGTTTGTGTTTACAGCCATAGTCCTTGTTCTAGACAGTATGCTGTATGGTATTTTGTTCCAGCTCCTACGTAACAGCTAAGCCAAAGTGAGTTACTAAAGCTTTGAGTCTTCTGCAGGTGCTATCTGACTTAGTGTAGCTCTCAAGAAAAGGGATTAAATAAAGCTAACTTACAGTTGTTTGATTAAGGGTAATACATGCAGTATGTGGGTCAGTTGAAGTGTCATGGGTATGTCCAGCAGTAAATTGGAGATAGTCCAGCTGGGTAATAGGGGTTCCATGACCCTCCAAAATAGGAAAAGGAGGCACAGAAGAGTTGTTGCCTGTTATGTTTTTTTTTGCCCATGGTCATTAGATGCTATGATTGCACTAAGATTTCAAAGGGCTTCTCCCAAGGAGTATTTTATGTGGTGTCATTTCTTAGGAGGGGGAAAGGTTCATTTCTTTAAGAAGCTGTTGACGTCTATTCAAAGTAATACTTAAGCTCTCTCCAGGGTAACCCTTTATGACATATAGAATAAAATGTTCCTGCTTCAATCTATTGCATAACAATAATTCACAATCACCTGTGTAGTGGTGATCCACAGTTCCCTTTATCATTCACCTTTCTCAGCCTTCTGTACTTGCCAAACTTCCATTTGGAACACCTTGTCAATGTTGCAGCTATGCTGGCTGAGATTAACCTGTCTTTTCCTGTGCATTGAAGGCCATCAAGACTCAGTTGATTTTTTTTTTTTTAGTAGAAATGGAGCCCTAAGTGTCGTGGATAGCTTGAAAATACAAATGTCTTTGTCCGTCAGAAAACAACACTGTGCAAATGCGTGAGCTTGAGGTTGGAAGCTGCAGCTGTGTTAACCCATGTGGGTGTGAGTGCTACCTGAACATAGGTGTAAAGCATTTGGTCCTAAATTAGCCTGTACAGCAACAGATGGGCACAAGCAACAATAGTAGTAAGAAATACTGTGAGCACAAGTATGATTTATATTTACGGCATCTTTAATTTTTTTTTCAAAGAGAAATGATCTATTGCCTGTAAGCCATCCTTCTTGATAACTAGGATGCTCTCAGAAAAGTTAGCTGTGTTAGTGGAACAGGTCATTCACAGGTGTCCTTATCTGAGGCAGCTGATTAATAAAATCAAACCTCAAAATGTTTATGCTTGTATGACTAAGGTCAAATCTATAGCAAGTGTTCCATAAGAGTGCCAATTTTTGATTCAAGAATCTGAGCAGCAATATAAATATTTAGAGTTGGCAAAATATAGTAGTCTTATCAGTTTTAAACATGTGGAGGTTTGGAAGAAAAAGGATGTGGGTTCAACATGCCTATTTCCTACAGTTAAGACTGGAGTTTCACTTTGCATCTATGTGATTATTCAACTGACACAGAAAACATTTCTGATTAATACAGAAAAGGGAAAACTGACCACATCCTCAAACTTTCTTTAAATATGCTCATAAAATTGCACAAATGCTATGCAAACCTTTGTTTCATATTTTTAGATCTCTTCTGATAGCAGGGAGACTGTTTGTAGTAGTATCCAGCCCTTCTAAAATCCATGTCTCAAGTCTCACATGGGAGTTGGACCTACTGAGACCTCTACCCCAAAGAGCTTTTATTAAAGATCCAAACTGTTTAGATATTCATTCTGTCCACGTTGTTGAAGTTAACCTAGCAAACCAACAAAAGAATGAACAAAATAGGTAGCTCCCACAGGACGCCATTGCTAAGAGAAGCCTAAATTTTAGGATGTATCCAAGTAAGAGAATAATCTTTTTCTGACCTGCCTCAGTTTAGTATGTGTGCTAATTTCTTATTCTCAAGCACCGCTCCCACCGCAGTGGAAGTATTTTTGATAATCAGTGTTGTCTTCTGGAATCTGTGTTGTGCTGACAGTGGAAATAGTGAATCACGTTAGTTTTATGTATATATGTACGTTAAATACATTGTGGTAAATGTGATTCTTCAGTGTCTTTTCACCATTAATACACTTTTAGTAGTGTGTCCAGCAGATAAGTGATGCATAATGTGGCTGGTACATTATAATAATCTGGTGTCCTGTACAATGATTTTATTTATATTTTGCTTACTTTTGGACCCATATAGAATGGTAAAGAGGCACTTCTGTGAAGACCTACATGAAGATTGTTTTTTCAATTTTTATTTACTTAGTAAATAAAATTAAATTTGGTTAACATAAGTATGTTCTGTGACTCCATGTACTAAATTTGGTTTTCTGCCCATTCAAATTGGAAAAATTGGATACCTCATTACTTTTAAAAAGCCCAACAAAGAGGACCTTTATAGTTGACTACAGTTTCTTTGTTCAGACACTTTGTAGAAACAGAACTTTATTTTAGGGTTGATTTTGTTTGTTTACTTCTTAAACTTAAATGGAAAAGATACTTCTGATTTCCTGAGGTTCTATATACATCTCCTCTCCCTCTCTTTGTAACATGCATGCATTTCGAGGTAAGTGTCAGAGGCATTGATTTTTCCCTCTAGGAGCACATCACTATCTTCTTAATGATTGCTTGTCTGGCAGCTGATGAGAGTATTTTCCTTCTGCACTTAAAGAAAAAAGTCTTGTCCAAAGCCCACTGAATGTGGTGAGAGTCTTTTAAAATACTGTGTCTTTGGATCCAAACCAAAGACAGGGATTTGCCTCCCAGGTTGCAACCTATCAATCCCACCTCGACCTTAATGCTTTGAAACACATATGAGGTAGAGAAGAGAATTTTTGGTTTTTTGCACAAGCAGGATATTTCTGAAAATAACTCTGAAATGCATTCCCCGTACCCCTCCAAGATTGGTAAGGTGATTTTGACTTTTTTTATATTGTGACCATGCAGTATTGTGCATCAATGTTTTTACATTATTCACTTCTCGACAGTATTTTTACTACGTTGTAATTAAAATAAAGAAGCGTATCTGTTACTGTATAGCTGTACAGAATACCTGTGTTTCATTTACAGATACTTTTTGGTACTGCTGTTTTACTCAGTAATCTACATGTCATGTTAGCTTCCGGCAGATTTTGATCTTTTAAATGTCTTGAAAATCATGCATTTTGTTGTCTTTTCTCAGGGACCATATCTGTGAATACATTACGTACACCATATACTGCACCAGGGGAAAGTGAAATCCTGGACTTGGATGATGACTTGTATCTTGGAGGCTTACCAGAAAATAAAGCAGGCCTCGTCTTCCCAACAGAGGTGTGGACAGCACTTCTCAATTATGGATACGTCGGCTGCATTAGAGATTTATTTATTGATGGTCAAAGCAAAGATATTCGACAGATGGCCGAAATTCAAAGTACAGCTGGAGTAAAACCCTCATGCTCAAGGGAAACTGCAAAACCTTGCCTTAGCAACCCCTGTAAAAACAATGGGGTATGCAGGGATGGGTGGAACAGATATGTTTGCGATTGCTCTGGTACAGGGTACCTTGGCAGATCATGTGAAAGAGGTAGGTTGCATGAGATGGCTGCATTTCTGTTTTATAGAATCCTGTGCAATGATTAAAAATGGTAAAATATCATTAACTCTCCTGAGGCAGAAAAGGCATCCTTGATTTCAGTTGATGTGAGATGGAGCTCTAGGCTGAAAGAATTGACTCTAGAGGAAAGATCTTTGGGGAGTTTCTAAGATCCATGAAGAAGTATTAGTTGACTATGACAGAGTCAGTACTGCTAAGTGTCTCTTAGAAAATGTCTCCTTTTGTGTCTCATCATACATTGCTGAGTTCTGAAAAGCTTTGTGAAAGTAATTTCAATTATTACTGCATTACTAAACGGTCATGTTCCAATTCCAGACAGAGGTCTTGTTCTCTGCCTATTTATGTCAATACCACTGTGTAATTAAATTTACTTTTGAATTCCACTGTATCACTTAAATCCATGGCCAGGAATTCAGCCATGAGTCAAAGTAAAAGAATCAGTGTAGGAATCTTTATTTCTTACTTAACTTTTTTTTTGACGATCCTAGTGGCCAAGGAAACAGTTTCTGCTTATCTTAAACCACTGAATATCCCTCTTACCTAGGAAAGGTAAGTGTAAAGTTGACAAACCCCATTTATTTCATTGAAAGGATGGATAGTGGCAAGAAAGATGTTGAGATTAGTTTACAGAATTTTCTTCCTATAATTTAAAATTATGGAGTACACGAATGAAAAATTTTCATGTAAGCAGGACAACAACAAAAAAGGTTAATTTAATATTTTAGGTTTTTATTTTTATTCTCATTGGAATAGGAAATGTTTCAATGTCAGAAGTTGTATTTTTTCTTTTCAAAATTGGTACAGTACAATTTCCCTTCAAGCTGAAATATAAACTGAAAGTTTATTGACTGGGAATGTAAATTCTTTCCATCTAGTTTGATTATTTTTTCTAGTTAGTAAGATGAAACAAAAAATGTATTCTTTAAAAATAAAAACTCCATGAATATTTTAAGTTGTATATAAATAGACACATGCATTTATGTAGAATTAATACCATCATATTATTAGCATTCACAAGTAGATTCCCAGGTTCTTCTGTTTTTTCTGTCTTATCTTTTGAACATATATGCCTTTGGCTCATGGCCAGTTATTCTGAGGTCTCCAGATCGTTCTATTAGTGGTGGAGTGAAGCTGGCAGAGGGCATAACCGAGCTGTCTGATGCATTACCAAAGCCTTCAGTTAAACATGTTTGGTGTTCCACCCTGTGGCAAAATTCTGCTATTGCATATGGCAGAAGTAAAAATAGGATTTGCATTTTTTTAATTTGAGAGCTAGGAAACATGTGCGTTAGAGACAAAAACACAAGCAGATCTGTAAAGAGCTTAAAAGCAGGCTTCATCACAGCAGTTTCTTATAAATATATCTGACAGGTGGTAATATTTTCTATAGAAAGCTTTGTCTTTTTTTTTATTTTCTGTGCTTTGTTTTCAACTGACTTCCAATATAGAGCTTGATTTTCCTGGTGCGTTTCCCTAGTGGGAGTGGAGGTACTGTGGTGGTGGTGCTGGCTTCTCTACACTGGTATTTGGTTCTTGTCCAACAGAAATACGTGTGGCAGTTCAGACAATATGGGATCATTTCCTCCTCTTGGGTTTCCCTCTCCAGAGGGAACGACACTGAAAGGAGATCTCTTTCCAGTAATACTCATATCCCAAATGGTCAGGCTATAAGATTATAGCTTTTGGGATTCTGAAAGCTATGCGTTGGCATCCTACCACACAAAGTTGTTCTATTACCCATGTGCAGTTACTGATAAACTTTTGGTTTTGACGATGTAAGCAACACAATTATAATTGTTGAAATTAATGTATATAAAATAGGAACATGTTCATTTCAACAAACAATACAGTTACAAAAAGAAAAGAAAGCATTAGAATAAAATATTGGATATTAAACTGGAATATTTAATGAGTGATTAAGGTATCTTCAGTAAAGAAAAGCATGTAGCTGCTTTTCAGTACCGTCATTTATTTTTCATGCTATTTCCCCTAATATATAAGTGTACTAACATCCATATGTGGATGTATCATGTACAATACAGTACTGAAATAATTTTGGTCAGCTTATCAGTGCACAGAAAACATGGAACACAAGTCAGTTCCACTTTAATTTTAGTATACTTAAAATTAGTATTTTCTATTATCCATGTGCTTTTTATCCTGTTGCAGGTTATTCTTGGTTTTATTCTTGATTTTCAGTAAGGTTAAACGTCAGTATAATCTGTAGATTGGCTTTAGTAGATTATGGAAACTACAGCAGATGGACAGACAGATGTCACAGCAATATAATTTGGCTTCCTATCTTACTTTGATTGTGGATCACAATATGTGACTGCCTCTCGGCAAAGCCTTTTGCAGGTGTATACTTTTGACTGGATGGCTAGGAACAATGCACAGGAGTAAATTCATCAAACAGCGTTAAGAAAAAGTAGGCATGCAAGGAAAGATTTATCAAAGTGACATTTCTGAGAATAAAATACATTTAAATTAGAGGGCGTGTGTGTAGATGTCCACATTGTGCATGCACACACACCTGTGTACACACATATACCTCACACCTGCATACACACGTATAGGTTAAATAAAGAAATACAACTTTCATTACTTGCATTATCTCTGGATGCTTTAAAATTTTGAAAAAGAAAAATAGAGATGATAGATGATATGAAGAATCGTGTGTTCAAAACATTATAGTAATTCCATCTCTGACTTACATGAACTAATTGGTCCCATGTGTTAAAGTTCTAGCACCTTTACAGTGTGTCTTAGGACCTCAGTCCTGAAATAATACCAGTGTAGAAATCCGGAGGAAAAGTTTTGACTTCCATTCATGTGTTATCTAGTAATTTATTGCCCATCAGAAACTGTTTCCATCGGACTGATGGAAAGGTTCCTCATGATTCCGCAAGGCTGCAGCTTTGGGCCCAGATGGACTGAAGTAGTTACCGGAAAAAACACGCAAACAGTGCTTAGCTGAGTGATAACACAAAGCCTAAAAGTTGGAATTTGAATCTGTAGCCATCGATAATACTTGAATAACTCACACAATTTATAGAAGCAAAATTGGTGAGTATTTTCAGGGCAGGATATTATTGCTCTGCTTACGCTGGTAAATAAAACAGGGTCAGAAAGCAAACCTGAATACTTGATTACTGATGATCCAGATTGTTTGCATGCTTCCTGGCATGGCTCTGGACTGTATCGTCTGTCACTTTCTGGGCAAAATTTGTGTGTGATTTCAGAGACAGCAGACACAGAGGGTGATTTCATGCTTTAAAAATGGCTCTGTGGGCTACAACACAGTCTTCTTGATATTGCAGACACTTTGAAACTGAAAAAAGAGGAAATAAAAATAAATAATTCTGTCTTTGGGACTATAGAGGCACCACAAGGGGTCCAGAGGAAACAAGATCCTGTTTTATTTATTAAAATACATGCAGTAAGCATCCGTACTTACCAAGCATCATCTTGTTAAAAACAACACAAGCTTGACTGTAAAACTTAAGAGGAAGAACACTGAAATTCAAGTGCCTAGTCCATACTTCTTCCACTTTAATTTAAATAAGCTGTGAATCGAAGAGTAGCATCTATTGGGAAAATTCTGTTTCTCCCATAAAGATCTGGCTGAGCATTTCAGAGGGTAAAAACACATTTAGGAAAGTTTCCAGAAAAGCAGGTGCCTCAGGCTCTTCAGCAATTTAGGTAATCCCAGCCCAAGTGAAAATTAAGGTCCTGAACCTCATCTCGTATCGGTACTAGTCAGTGCATCCCTGGTGGTAGGCACAGAGCTGATTGAGGTAGTGTATACATACATGAAGGAAGAATATCCAGTCCTGGAGATTTTAATTGGAAACAAATTGAAGAAAAAAATGGAGAAGAGGAACTGAACCCTTCAGTGTGGTTTTTTTTGTTTGGTTGTTTTTTTTATCTGTTCTGATGTTTTGTTTGTTTGGTTTTTGGCACAGAAGCAGGAAGGGTTTTTAATTGTCACAGTTATAAAATATCGAAGAAAGCATGTATAAAATAATTTTTATCAATCTCAATTATATCTTACTGCTTATTTCTTGTTAATAACTCTACTGCATGCAGTTATTTGCTAGCACAAAAAAAAATTGTTGGTAATGTTTTATAAGGGTTTTCTGCTATTTTTGGTTTTAATGCTGTGCTTCCAACACTGAAGTGGTAGTAAAAATATTATTCCCAGCTATGGAGACCGATTCTTTTGATGAATAGCACGTTCTGAGCTAAACTTATAGTCTATTAGCATTTAATCTAATAATTAAGAGGAAGCTGAGCAAGAGAAAAAAAGACAAAAGACATTCTGCCAACACTTATGTGAGAGCAGTTGGCAGTGTAGATCTGGAAAGATAAGACACATACCCCTTTGGAATTAGTTGGTCCAAAGCAGGAAAAAAAAAAGTGATTTTAGGGGCAAAAACTAATACATACTTTTAGCCAAAACGTTCCTTTGAGGTTTGCATAATGGGTGAAACCCCCCCCCCCCTCCTCTCCTCATTGAGATCACCATCTCACTGACCAGGCCTTGCAAATTAACAATCCATTCTGGACAACTGAAGTAACTGCAGGATGGAAACAATTCCATTAAGCAACTGAGACAATCTCTAGTTCTAAGAAAGTCAAAACAAAGCAAGCCCTTTGTACATCATCTTGAAAACTTTTTTTCCTACTGTCTGAAAATCAAAGTTCTCTGTTAATGTATGCCGTCAAGCATAACGATAGGGTAATAAGGCATTGCAAACAAAGAATTGCAAGAAAGACACCAGTGAGGGAAGAGGGAACCCCTTGTGCTGTCAGAGGTCTCATACATGTACTACTAGACGCCTTCTGTCCAGCCAAGACCGACACAACATGGAAATTTGCAGAGCCGAGAGCAATGCAGAGCCAAATGGAAGAGTTGCCGAGTTGAATAGATGATTTGCATGGCAAAACCCACCTTGCCATCTGTAGAGAGGAACACAATACAGACAAAATGTCATTCAGCTGCCTTAATGTAGCAATCGTTTAATAATGGCTTAACAACAAAAGGTTTTCCTGACAAGGCTTGTACCAGCAGACTCATTTCAAGTGACGAAGCTGAACATAGTTGTATTTCTTTATTTTAGGAATATGTAGTGTCTCCGATCTTCAGTTACGGCTCTTTGATCAAATCATTCCTG